TTTTTTTTTTTTTTTTTTTTTTTTTTTTTTTTTTAACAGGGCCTTATGGTCCTGGCTCCTTTCCATTCTGGGGAGCGACAGTCCGGTTCCTATTCCACCGGCAAGTCAGAATAGACATTACAATAATCATAAAATACCCACGCTTCCTTTCGTCTGGCCGAAGGACCCCTGATCAGCATTGATTGCTCCACCTTGATGGAGGATTGACTGTGAGCTTGCTGTGCCTCACTCTTTCCTCTCAGATCAGATAACCAGATCTGTCAGATTGAACACTGCCACCTAGAAAGAGTTCCCTCATTTGTCCAAGCTAGCCTTTGTACTCCCACTTAGCCGTCCTGCACGTGATCCACGATACCCTCTGTCCCATCTTACCTTTCCTCCTTTTATACCTCTCCTACCTGGCCACTTCCTCTTTTCCTGTTTTGTTTCTCTCCCCTCCTTCTCCCTTCTTCCTTCTCCCTTCTCTTTTCTCCTCCTCCCCTGTAGGTCTTCAGTTTATCTGATCCCATCTCTAGTTTGTTCCTAAAGCCCCCTTCCTAAAAAACCCTGAACCGTAAACCCTCTTCTGATGATAGAACTTCCCAGGTTGAGCCAGGCCGGCCGGAAGGATTTTCCCGTCCGTGAGGATCTCTTAAACCCTTAATCCCTAGACCTTCAACTACTGTCATGCTCTATGACACCCTTACTCCCGTCTTGTCCACTCCTCTTAGATGTCTAATCGTGGAACGTCTTGTCTCTCAGCGGTTATCTCTTGTTGGTGAATCCTTCCTGGGGTTGAATTGGGCCAATCTTTCCAGTGAATATGGTCTTCACGTAGCTCTGCAATCTTGCCGTTTATCAACCAGTTTTTGCTGAAGGTCGATCTCTCCTTCCTTCGTTGTTCCTCGACCTCCATCCATGCCTGCTTGGTCTTCCTCCATCTGCAGAGGATTTCGGCTTGTATCATCACTTTTGTCTCGATCCACACTTTTTCGTGTGGGTTGGACAGTCCTTCAATCGTTCTGCTGCATCTTTCCTTCCATATGACCCATAGTGTGGTCTTTCTGATGAGACCAAACCAAAATTTTTCTGCCTTCTGAAACTGTTGAGGGATATTAGTCAAGAGGAGAAGTTGGATGGGATGTTCGGGAAAGGGAGTTGTGAAAAGGGAGTCCCAGAGTGTCGATGCTCTTGCCCAGTAGTCTGTCGCCTCCCTACAATGTATTAGGCAGTGGATCATGTCCTCTATCGTCCCATTATTGCAGACCATGCATAATTCTGAACTGTTAGGATCTGAATTCTTACGCCTCTTGTGTAGCCATTGGTTCACTGGTAATGCTGCGTAGGTGATTAGTCATTGTAAGCTTCTGATTTTAATTGGCCTGATGAGTTTGAACTTTTTCCACTGGATCTGTGTGATTTTGTCTGCCTCTTGGCCCAGTAGATTGTGCCATCTTATTTTAATGATAGGGTCAGGGTCCTTAGTTTTCAGTGATAGTCTGTACCCTAGTTTAACTGTATAATCGTGAATTGGGATTTTGGATTTGGTATTTTTAGTCTTGTCCGGTATCCATGCCCATTCCGCTGGGTCAAACTCTAAGTTGTGGACTGCTGTGTCCGGTCTGAAGATTGATTTGGGCCATGAGCCGAGGACTCTTATCTTCCTGAGTAGGAAATAGTCCAAGACTAAGGACAAAAAAAAAACAAAAAAAACAAGTGCATTGCTTGTCCACAGGTGTTCCACAGCGGCCGATAAACGTCGATGAACAATTAGCAACAGTGGTTTTGCCCTAGGTTCCCAGGTTGAATTAGAATGCTGCTAGGGGTATTTTTGACCAAGCGGTCCAGGTATACTAATGCTACCGCCCAAAATGCTGCACACACACACACACACACACACACACACACACACACACACACAGAGAGAGAGAGAGAGAGAGAGAGAGAGAGAGAGAGAGAGAGAGAGA